ACTAACAAAATACACTCTCAGACACATCACATCACACAAATCTCACACATCCATCACAAAGCATCTAGGGAGAAACCCACATGCACACACATCATGAATATTAAATTATATGCACATTTTTTTAACTTTACTACTCAAGCTCAAAAAAAGAACAAGACTGAAAAAAATGAAAACAATTTTACAAAATAGATTTTTCCACTATTAAGCCCACCATGATTCATCAATCCATTGCTTCACGCACATGTGCGCCAGCCAGCAAAATAAAAAAAGTACCAAGCAAAATTTGTAAACCCCCCCCCACCATGTTGTTGTTTCCAGATTCAAATATCGCACGCTTTCCCCCTAAAGCTTTCCACCCATCCATTTATATCTTTAATCCAACTACCACACAAAATCTCCATGAGAGAGTTAAGTAAAAACAGTAAAGATGGAACTGATTAACAGACATCAAGTTCAAGAGAGAATGCGCAAGTGCAAAGATGTCAATGAGAAAACGATCGCTGTACCAGACAGGCATGATAGAATTGGGTAAAGTCGTCATGCAAGTCGTGGCGTAAAAAGACAGAAGGAAAATTGGGAATATGAAATCAAGGCTATGCTACAGTGCCCAAAATAGCAAGTGCAAAGTCGAGAGAAGAATCGACATGAAATACCCAAAAGTTGAGACGGCCGTTGACACCTCCCCCCTTTCCGTGCAAAATGAAAATCAACCCAACGCCACCCCCCAAAATCGCTCCAAACAATCTCTAAGCAAAAACACTTTCCGAAATGCAGACATTGATCATCTCAACATCCGTAATTTCAAACTCATTTCCAACAAAGGTCCGAAGTAGCCCTTTCAGGCTCTCGACCAGTTCCAAAGTTCAAAAAGTTGATCTAATCTACTGTGGCATATGCTCAGGCGAAAGACCATCATGATCAACAGGGAATTGAACAAGATTACTCATGTCCATATCCGCCGCTGATTGTTCACCAAAAGCTGGAGAATGAGGATGCATAGGAATATTAAGGGTGTGCTTCTGATACATCTCATTAAGTCCGGTACCATCATCGGAGATGGCCGAATCATTGTGCATACTGTAAACATCGGCAGAAGCACTTCGGTGCATCATTGACATTGGTGGAGATTGATCAACAATTGCTGGGTCTCCGTGACTCATAAACGACAAAGGAGAAACGGATGGAGGAACAAGCGAAGAAGGATCAGGCGACAAGTAAGGCATCGAGTATGGCGTGAAGTTCGAAGCTGGCATTGAAGATGATGTTGGCATCGGTCCTGTCATAGGTCCGTTGTCATTTTGGTGAGGGAAGAAGCCTGGGCTGGCATAATCCGATGGGGAAGTTGTCGTTGCTGCTGACATGGGATATTGTCTGAAATCCATTCCGTAACCCGACGAGGTATCAATTCGTAGATTAGGTCCAAGAGGTCCAAGGTTGTTGGGTTGTTGAGGAATAGGAGCAAAGATATTTGGGTTTCCATGTTGGTGTTGATGTTGATGTTGGTTTTCACCAGGGTGTTGAATGAGGAATGATGGCATTGGGTTGTTAAACATGGAGAAATCGACAGCCATTGGAACGGATCTACTCCTTTGTCTTCTGTGACCAGGTCCACGCGCACTTGGATGAACACCAATACCCCATTGAGACTCTTGGAACATACCAACATGTGCTTGCGCATTGAAATTTGGCTGAGAAGATGGACGGAGACCAGTTGGAGATGCAGGTGCTGAGATAGATAATGGTTGTTGGTGTGTGAAAGGATTGTCGCGTGTGATGAAAGACTCAAGGGAAACAAGCTTGGCTAATTGACCACTAAGAACCTTAGGGTGACCACCTAAGTGATGAACCATGACTTGAGATGCTTGCTGGTCTTCTGTAAAATCACCACATTGGTAAAATCCACCCGATCCAGAAGAGTCCATGAAAAAGTTTGGCGCACGAATAAGTTCAACAACTAATCCACCAGGTCGCGACTCATTATCTCCATTTTCCAGGTAGATATTTTTGATTGACGAAAATGGATACTCAATTTTGTAACCAGCTTGGTCGTTATTGATGTAGTAAGTCATTGTTGACTTATCCGGCGAGTAAAAGATGATGAGGTCCATGGCATTCTGACCAATTCGTCTCCAGGATCCAATACTCAGTGATCTACACGAAAGATGATGAATCACTATTCAATGTTAGCACAAGATCACAATATCAGAAACCTGTAGTTCTACTTACCAACTTTTCCTTGAGGGCCGTGATCACCACCCATAAGCATGTTGCCACTACCATAAGGCATAAGCCCACCTCGGCCCAAAAAGTTACCACCCAGTGACTTTCCTGATTCCATCTCCTGAATCGCAAGGTATTGGCGCATAGTTTCTGGAATTTCACAAGTCTCTCCAGTCTCGATACTCTTCTTTGCCATGAGCTTGATCTTTGCACGTCTGCGAAAGGCAATTAGACTATGCGATGCTTCTTTAGTGTAGGAAAATAACTGACCTGTTTTGGAACCAGATTTGAACAGAACGTTCAGTCATGGTGATATCCTCCGCGATTCTCTCTCTAACTGTAGCCGTAGGTGTTGGGTTTTTATTAAATTCCATTTCCAGAGTAACCAATTGATCTTGTGTAGCTCTCTGTCTCTTCTGGTTCTTTTGTTGTTGGGTTAATGTGCTCTTGCGCGGAGGTCTGCGGGAAGCCGAACTACTCCCAGCCGAGTTCGACGCGGTAGGAGAGGGTGTTGAGAGCATCTTGAGAGCATCTTCTTGCGACATGTCCGACATCTTTTTTGAGTTGTTAGGACCGTAGTCAATTACTTTCGTGTGTTCCTAATAGTTCAATCTTCCTCCAACGTGTTTGTATGTAGTATATGACAAGCGGTTGTCTTGGTTGTCTTTGGTTGCACGAGTCTCTATGATCGTCGAGATGCTATGTGCTTTGTATGCACAGGTTGTTTTGCTGGGTCGAAACCTAAGTGAGAATAAATAAAAGGGTCTTTGAGTAAATCCAAACTTTGATAGGATGGATATATTTCAAAACAAATGCTTCGCTGAATCTTGCAGGAAATATTGTAATGTATGGTATAGATGTGGATAGATGCTCAAGAGATCCGTATGTGAAGCGTCGTAGATTTATGAAGAAAGAGTGTTAAAAGGGTCAAGATGACTCTTCTTTTGACTGTGTGGTTGAATGTAAAGACTGGAAGTGTGAAGTTCGAATCGAAGGAGTGTTCAAGTCAATAATGACTTTATTCTTTTCTCGACAGAAGAATTGTGAATAGGTAGAATGTAAATGTGAATTTGATAGCTGAGAATCCGAAGGAGTGTAATGGACCCGAAGAATCCGATTAAAAGAAAGACAAGAGGGAAAGGGGAGAAAATCACAAGGGGGGGGGAAGAGTTTTGATAGAAGAGACGATGATGAAGTTGTTTTAAGAGAAAGGAAGATTCCACGATAGTAAAAGGGAATAAGACAAAAAAGAGGGAATGGGAAGGGGAAAAAGGCGAGCGGATCAGAGGTGTGGGTATAGTGAATAATAAATTTTAGCGTGATAATGTGGTAGTGTGGTAGTGTGGTAGTGTGGTTTATGTGGTAGCGTGGTGTGTTAAAAAGTCATTTGGTCAACCGTCACCCACTGGGCGAGTTTATTCAATTATTACTGGCTCAACTGAAGTCTGACCAGTCAAAATACACTAAAATAGAGCTAATCCTTGAAACCATCCACCAATCCACAAACCCATAAGTGAACTTTTGAAGCAAGCCGAAGTCCATAACTTACAAGCAAGCTCGCAAGCAAGCAGACAAGCAGAGAAGCAGACAAGCAAGCAAGCAAGAGGTTGAGAACTTATAAGCATCTAGACAAAACAGTAATCGTAAACAAGAAAGAGTCTAACCGACAATTGGTGGTTTGTAGATAGATGTATGTGTGCTGTTAGTAGTCTGTCTTCTCAACTATCTACTGTACTTCGGATAATTGAGGTATTCTATTCACTCTCACTCTATTACCTAGGTACAATACTGACAATATTGTATGTACTAGCAGGATGAGAGAAGAAAGAGAATACATACCTACATCGGTAAGAGAAAGCGAGAGAGGGGGTAAGTGAGGAATTAGAGAGAGTGAATGATTGGAAAAGAGCATAATCACGCGCTCTTGTTTACTCTCCATATTGTCATTCTTTTCTATTCTAGACCTCTCCATCCAGCTAAACCTAGGTACTCGAGTATTCCTCCCTGAAAAACACATCAACTCAACAACGCATACCATTGATTGAATTTGCCAGTTCATACATCCAACGCATGTAGGTACCTTCATGTAGTCCATTGGCACAGTGGATGAGTGGGGATGAGGGGGGTGGTTCTCTCAAAAATAGTAATGCAGTAGTCTCAATTGAATACAGTTAGGTACCGTTTGTCTACTTCTGTTATCCAATACTATCTTCTCATCTACTTGGCTACTTCCTCGCGATCCATATACATACATGAACTGATGAATTAGTATAATCTATCTGACAAACTGATGGACTATTATTTACCATATCGAGTAATCGAATACCGACGCCCATTACGAATGGTAGTTTGACATTACGTTTTGTGCACGATCTAAAGCATCAGACGGACACCAGGACAGGACGGTCTACCGTGTACTAAACGAGGTGAATCTTTCTCTGTCGCTTTCTCTTTCTCTCTATCCAGGATTTGATAAACTCGATCCCTTGATCATTGTATTCCTTTCGAAAATCATACCTCCCCCCCCCCAAGACGCCTGTGCGTGGCCCAGCGGTTTAGTCACCTTCACCAAAACCTTCACCCATGCGAGCACGACCTGGATTGGAAAAAGATCCAAAAAGGGGGTTAAGAAGATCCATGTAAATTGATTAGCGTCATATTCACATGTACTTTTATGTAGAAGTACGCACGTATGTAAAATTTTATGTCCTATGTAAGTTGTTCTTGCATTTTGTATGGCAAGAATAATAATTCCAAGCCCCGCTGCTGCCATTGATGCACTACCCAAGTCCTCCGTAGAGTGGTGCACTACTACCAATCCATACACCAATCGTCGTGTAGTGGCTCTCGTCATCCTGGTTTTGCTCCGCTTCCTCCTCAAACATGGGTATCCCATACCCCCTGAATTGCGTTGTTGCAGATTCCGGACTTTTCAGGATCAGTATCAATCCTCGTTGGTGGCTGGCGGCGAATCCAACCGCCGCATTTTCTTGTCTGGAGTCATCTCTCTTCGGCCTTTGTACATACTTACGGTATGATTGTCGTGGGATAGACGGTGAATGCCCTGGAAGAAGACACCGGATGTGGGCGAATGAATATATCAGTGCCAGTGGAGTGCCAACTTGGGGGTCGAGTCGCACAATGCTCTTGGCATTTATTTTTGTAGAGGATCCGTCTTCTGACTTTCTGGTACCGACCCTCTTCATCCGAGTCCATATGCATCTTTTCCGTACCAATCACCATGCACATCTTTTGCTGCACGTTACTCGATCACTTGTAACTATAACAACATATGCAATCAACCGACCGAGTCATGCAAAGTGTACAGTATAACGCAGTACTTTGTACACCTTTTTCTTCTGACCATGATATGATGTGACCATGTTGCAAGTACATACACAAACGTTGCTAAGATATATGCTTTTCTACAAAGTTGATTGACTGTGAGGATGAAGTTAGGAAGAAGAGAATTATTTGTATTCGAAATCCCAGACTTTGCTTCTTTTCCCCCCTTCGCAAACCATTGAAACCATTCCGAGTTCCATCCATCGTCACATTAAATATCACCCCTGATTCCCTGGAAACCTTAGCTACCCATTCAGCCACGATTTACCGCTCGTTGAAACCAATAACAAGCGCGAATGCCGAAATGTGTAAAAAAAGATGGGACGGAGGGGGAAAAAACATGATGGCATTGGCAATTTGGCATCAACATAAATATTCAAACCTTGATCTAAACACCATTAGCTCGAATGATTTGTTTGACTGGTGACATATCTAGACCGGAGTGAGAATAGTTTGTTGTTTTAGTTGCGAGCCGTACCTAGATGGATATAGCGTATGCTTCGTACCGCATTACCGGCAAACAAAAAGGGTGAACTTTCGAAGCATGCAACAACTTTTGTACCTGCAGCGACTGGCTCGGCGATTGTGCGGGACTCAAGGGCTAACGTGTGGTTCATCTTTTGTATGATTATGCACGATACTCAATGGAGATTAGTTGATGGCCATTGTGGAAGTTCTAGTCAGGAACGCTGCCAGCTTGAAGGGGGGGTGGCCATAGTGATTGTATAAATCGACGAATCAATCCATAAAAGTTCAAACCCCCAAAACAATAAATTGGGGTAGCCTTGTCTTGTCTTGTCTACTATCTACGAAGCTATTCGATCGCTCTCTCGTATCTTTGCGTCTGGGTCTACCGTACATATCGATCAAGAAATGGTTTGTTGTGACTTGTAAGATCGATACGACATTATCCATCGCTGCCCTTGATGATGAGGTAATACTTCGTAGGTATGTATATAAGGTAGCTACGGTACATATTAAATCGGCAATCCCGTCGTCTATTCGTAGGAGAAAAACCAGACCAGAATTGACTTGACCACTAGTGAAACCCTTCAACAATTCAATTGTTCCATTTCAATTCAGAGGATCAAAAGTTTAAATAGTATGAAAACTGAACAATATCTAAGGGATTGGTTGATGCTTTATCACGATAATCAATTTTGGCCTCTTTTTTCTCCTACGAATAGCCCGTTCAGTAAAACCTAGAATCACCTCGGGGCCACTAGAATCATCAGCAACACAAATCACTCTTCTCTTCCACGTACTGAAACAAAAGGATTGAAACCAGTCAGGTAAAGGAAAAGGAAGCCCGTTTTACCATCGTAAGAATTCGTATTGCTCCATCCGAAAGTTTCTGAAGACAGAACCTGTGCGACGCTAACCAGAGATGGATAAAGATGCTATCTTCACCCCCACCAAAAGGGATGCATAAAGGGGTAGGAGGGCATTAGCCTATTTTTCGTGCGGAAAATTGGCCTAAAACGTCAAACCGCAGAGCATAAGCATAGGCATAATGCAAAAGCATGGGATGAGCGGCTCACGTGTTCCGCTTCATTGCGAAGCTCCTCCGATTTTCTCTCCAAAGAAGATGTTGATCTTTTGTCAGTGTTGCGCGTAAGCATCACTCAACCGTGATACTTTTGAGTTTTGACAGGAGATGGGGAGAAGACATTATTGCGAGTTGAACGGAGAAGAACCGAAGAAGTCGAGTAAACCGACCCTATAATATTTCACGAGACCCTTACAATTATGAGGCCATCGCGGCCATTTATCTCGCCGTGAACACCCCTGGTACGCACGGCTATGGATTCCAATGCAAGACACGGTGGTGGCTTTTTATACCTACGCCACTCTCACCGGGATTTTTACAGTCCAAAAAATGATTTGGAAAGTAGCACCGCTGTACCGGCCCTGAATTCCTCGTTTGTCCATTCGTTTTCCGGTGTTTTAAGCCCGAAAAATCGCGAGATCTACCTAGGTATTCTTTGTGGTAGGTAGTATCTATAGATCCACAATACTATCTGCTAATCAGCTTACCACTGCGCCAAAAATAACCACACAAATACTCAAATATATTATGTCATGTTGTTGTTCCTCTTTGATGCATAACACCACTAGCAAAACATAAGCTGGGATTCTCTATTCTATCTGCCAAGTTCAGACGACAATCATTACATGGTTCTCCCAGTTCCATGCTTGGCTTTCCCAATGGAGGTTATGAGGTTGTTCCCTCCCCACAAGATCTACTGCCTCCACCCGACTGTCAAATCGGTGTCGCATAAACTTCGAGAAGGACTTGTTGAGGCTCGACCGTTATCATAATAATGTTTTCAATGCGGCCTGTCTCGCTTTCGATTAGTCGAATATAGAGAACAAAGCGAGACGAACTTGTTGTTTTGAGTTAACTCTAAGTCGAAACGAGGAAGATAAGGTTTCCCAGATCTTCTGGCTAAGAAGAGACTGTGGGCCTATTTCTCCAGCCAAGCGGTGACTATGGAACATCCATTACATGTATAACAAGGCTCAGTGTGTTCCATCTGTTTGGGAACATAGTGACTCGGTAGAATTGCCACGTAAGTACCGCACAAAGTCTTAAACAGAAACATCGTCTACATTTGTATTCTGTTCAGACGTCATTGTCGGACAAGTGTTCTTCGTTCGAGGTCTCGCACACAAGTGTAGCCATTTATGACAAACAATAGTGTTGGAAGAAAAGCAGCTAGTCAGAATTCTGATAGAAGTATTTCCATGCCAGTTGCGGTGATGTAACATGGTTTGGGCTTTGCAACCAGACAATTGTATGCAAAACAGCATGGCTCTCAGCGTTTTAAAACTATGAATTTCTGATTTAGCTTGAATTCCGAGAGAGAAAAAAAATGGAGAAACAAGGCTTGACCTCTCCAACGAATTCAATGCCCCAGATAGGCTAAGAATATCAAGAAAGATTAGTATACAAGAAAGATCGAATAGAGAACATACTCGAATTCTTATCTGACATCTATCAACGCCGTCGATAATGGCTCGAAGTATGCAGAATTACAAGCTTCTTCACAAGTCTCTGGAAATGAAAGTAGTCATATGACGGAAGATTGCAGATTGCCAGTTCTCCGGTAATGCTGGGGATGAAAAGCTAAACTTTAATTGATGTATGTGGGTTCCAAGCAACCACAATCAATCTCCTATAGATTGTTCAGTGAACATATCGCTTCATGTTTTGTAAAGCTGTTTTAACTTCGGACATCTTATAAAAAAGCTGATGTGGTGATAATCGCGCAGAAAATACCAAGAGGCATCCGATACAAGAGGTGGAGCACAAAAATGATGTAAAAGAAGAGGAATATGTTGGGCTCTTATTGTACTTCGTAGTGGAAGTTGATTTCGTGGAAACTGTATCATTCTCTTAGATATACCATAATCAAGCTGCCTACGTTTGATAGTTGCTCGCATGTTTGTCTCGTTTGTTGGGACGATGACAAGTGACTTCTACACCATTTTATACCAACCGAGCTCCTTTCTTTTCACAATACCAGAATGAAAATTACTTGGGCAGCCTCGACAAGCCTTTAAATTCCTAGGCTGTGGAATTTACACTTCTCGTCCGATATAGCCTTGGCCAAATTGATTCAACGTGTCCAACGAATCAAGCCTTTCGAAAGTATAGAGGAGTCCGGTTACCACTAGTAAGTCTAGTCAAAGGAGCATCGCTACTTCTTTTCTCACTTCTGCTTGATGCACTTGGACCACCGGGTGCTCCCTTGACTGTTTCTCATGATTTCCCGTGTGTGAATACCATCAAGACAACTAGTGTATTACAATACTACAATGGTAGCTTGTGCACATTTACTTGCGGGGAAGGGGGGGATTCAAGGTAGAGTAAGGTAGAGAGAGTAAGGTAAAGATTTATTTTGACTAAAAAGCAATGTAGCATTGAAGATAAGTAATGAATGATGCAAGCCTACTTCTCAAATGGACTTGCTGGTTCTGGCGCCTTGTAGCCGCGTCGAATCAAAAATCCAGCGAACTTCTGCTCTAACCTTGCAAACTAAAATACCTATTAGATTAAACTCGAAATTATACCTATAATACTTACCACACTTGTTTCCTCCACTGGTACAACTCCATCTTTAATCCATACGGAATAACTTCCCATGAGGTTCGCCATCATAACATCGGTGGTGAGTCTATCACCGACAACTGCTATTTGATCTGGTCTGGTGACTCCGGTCTCGGGATACTTCGAAAAGTATTCCATAATATCAGGACCACATCCAGGCTTCTTAGAAGCGTGAGATAAGACTGTAACGCCTGTAGACTTCTCAACTTCAACAGCAAGCTTGCCAGAACGATCTAAAGATTCAGCACCTGCTGTATTAGAAACAATCAGAAGCCGTCGGCCTGGATAAGCTTCCCGAAGTTTCTTGAAAGTTTCCTGAAATGCATTAACATTGAAAGAAGATCCCATGATACAAGTTCATTTGGTGATGCAGAATCAGGAAGAAAACCATCAGGAAGGAATGCAGAAGTGATAGGGTTAATGTAAGAAAGGCAGATGCAGGTAGACCAAACACCCCACCTAGCCTGCCCAGTGTAGATCAACAAGTTTGAGAAACCATAAAATATACCCTTCAACGTACATTGTAAGGCTCATATATGTCATTAGATTTAGGATATGCGAAGCAATTATCCTTGTCCAACACTACAGCTCTAATATCAGCATTTTTGCATTTACCAAAAGCCGAGTTGAGAGGTATTGGCAGGTGGTTGAATGTGGAAACAGTTGCTTGCGGTAAAATCAATTTCGGTCTTGCAAGAAGACGAAATATATTCACCGTTGCTGATATATTAAGAGTATTCATATCCATTGGTGTAATTTCTCAAGCAATGGTTGTGATGTTCGGATCGGATCAATAATTATAAGGAGGATTGCTTGAAGATGGTGCACGGAAGTTACCGAAAGCTTCAAGATCACTAGCGTTAAATTATTCTGAGATATCCAAAGCTTCACTCAGATATTGACATTCACGCGCGCCAACTTTCAACGACTTTATCCCAGAACGTCATCTCTCTCTACCGAATTCTTCACGATATAATCGATTCCTAGCAATTATGACGAGCACAATCGGAATACCAATTAAGCTCTTGAACGAGGGCCCAAGTTCGTCCACTCCATTCCTACAGGCTCCAAGGTTCAGTGTACCAAGGCCCGGCGCACTTTCTCCTCTCATTTGACATCTGCCACATACTCTGCTGACAATTGTCGTTTATTAGGGTCATGTCGTAACTCTCGAGATCACGACCGGTCAGGTCTATCGTGGAAAGCTTCTGGAAGGTACGACTACCCATTACGTTTTTCCAGCTCTCAAATCGCAAGAAAAGAAAGAAGGGATGTGCTAATTCGAGATCATTATAGCGGAAGACAACATGAACGTTCAACTTAAGGATATAACTGTCACAGCACGCGACGGTCGTGTCAGTCATTTGGATCAAGTATACATTAGAGGCTCACACGTGAGATTCTTTATTGTTCCAGATATGTTAAGGTTAGTGAAGCCAAGATGAAGCTCCGGATCAGATATGCACATGTCCGGAGCGGTATATATCATTGTGGACAAGGCTAACGTAACTCGTTGTAGGAACGCGCCTATGTTCAGGAGTAGAAATACTAGGGGTAGAGGTGTCGGATTGGCAAGAGGAAGGGCTACAGTTAGTAGGGCGAGAGCAAGTGGACGAGGAGCACCAAGAGGTTGAGAGACTCATATTATATGTGGATGAAGGAATAATTTTTCAAATGTCGGCGTTTGAGGAAAACTTATGATAAATTGCAACGCCAGTCTGGGCAGGGGAGAGCTACACAGGCTCCAATATTGAGGATGACCCAGCGCACAAGCATACATGGGGAGGGCTTTTTCCTTACTAGCATTTGAGTTAGAGCAGAACAATTAGGAGCTGATATTCAATATCCTAAAGATAATTACTATATCTCTCCATATTTAGGTATACTCCAATAAACTTGTTCAGTTGTCAAAGAAAATAAGCCAATGATATAATGCTGCTTTTTGAATTTCGGATCGGGCAAAGGAACTTCCGACATAATATCAAATCTACCGTTTTTGCCTGTGATCCCAACCTAGATTGACCAATACATACAATCAATCATGACGATGGAAATTCCTCATCCGCGGCGTATTCTAGCTGTTAGTAGACCAAATTCCGGTCTTGTAGACTTATTGAAAGGTTTGAATACTACTTGAGCTGATAAACACGATTTGAATATTGACTTATCATTCCAGGTCTCACGGGTTCTGCGCCTGCTCTCACAGGGGACTCCATAGCAGGTGTAACCCATGAATGGTCTATCAAAACTAATTACTATACCGCAAGTGTTCCAATATGGCTTGATGAGATACACGAGCCAGAAATCTGGTGTAAGGAATTTCTGGCACCAGAAGCTCGAGAAGTTTTAACGGTTTTGGGTGCATTTATTGTGTGTTTCCGAAAGCCGGTCGATGAAGCTGAGTTACAAGCTATTAAGATTCTTTTGGAGAGTGTGGCCGAGGTTGTTAAGGAGGGTTGTGGTTATACTTGGGATGGCGTTTGTTTGGCCGTGGCGATGCCACAGTCTACGACTCCATACCTGGAGAAGAGCTTCGATGAGTGGGAAGAATTGTGTCAAGAGCATGGTTTTGAATTTGTTGATTTTGAAAGTAAAGGTCGAAATGAATATTCAGGTAAAGTAACAATTTCAATGAAGTCAATTTTTTATCATTGACACATGTAGAACCTATGGGTCTCGAGAGGTTGAAGGAAGCTTTAGAAGCCAATGAATGGGAGGGCGGTGACGATGATGGGGAAGGTATTGATCTCGGAGACTTTGAGGATGATGACGACGACAATAAAAGCATTGGATTCGGAATCGAAGCGGCTGAATTGGAAGTGGAAATGTTCGGTATGAAGCAAGCAATTAATGGCGAGTCTTCCAAAAAGACGAACCCTGATGAGGAAGTCGAGAGTGAGGATGGAGTAGAGCAGCTTGAAGCTTTAATGTTGAGAATGCAAGCAGTCAAAGGTAAGAGATGTCTACTTGCTTACTTGGAGAATTACATACTGACATGAACAGATATGGGTGCGGATTTGCCAGAAGCTGAGAGAAAGAGATTTGCTGCGAAAGCTGTTAACGATATAATGAAAACTTTGTAAGATGTCCCATTGATGCTACGGCCCAAAAAGAAACAATGTGTAGATGATGATCTTAAGTCTCATGCGAGACCGTCTCCGGGCAACGCATTGGTATTCCTAGATCTCACTACATGCCAGGTCAAAATGATTGTTCTCTTTTCCGCGGTATAGCAAGAGGTGAAATCATAAATTAGCGCCGGTTGCGCATACCAAATCTCTAGACCAAGTAGAGATGCCCTACACTGGTTGCGGCTATGTGGTCTAGAATCTAGCATGCCTTTTTGTTTCCAAATACAATGACACCAATGTTGGCGCTCCAGCTTTCCATTGTCAACTTAAGCCAAGTTGTTTACTTTCTGACTTTCTGACTTTCTGCCGATCTCGATATCTACTTAGATCCCGAGCGGTGTGTTACACTCACAATCCTAATCACATTCCGCAATATCGAGGCTATCGTTTGTTCTTGAATGCCTATTCAAGGAATTGCAGCCTCACCTTCTCCCTATTCCTACTAGTATACGGAGGCGCGTCGATGAGTTCCTTCTTCTTATCCTGCTGGCCGTGTATTACTAGTAGCGAGGAAGCTTCGTCCGCTTTCCTGCTGCAATAAAATTTCAGTCAGTACTCTTCAATTCGTAAAGTCCATTCTCGCTTCATGCTTTTCAAATAGTCTAGGGATAGCTCTAATTGACCTTCAAGCTGCCATCAATATATCTTCCGATTACGATGCTCTCAGAATTTCGATTCGAAACCTCTGCAATCCCCCTCAAAACTGTCATTCTCCCGCCTCGACACGATACAAATCTCCCAAGGCCATAGCTACCCTTCCGTTTCCTCGCTTGTGAATACTCGGTACCATACTTTATATCTCAACCCCCAAAGAGAATATGAAAAATCATCCAATAAATTATGACTGATGAATACACCAATTCACTTTCACCATAACATACCACTCTGTGACTAACCCCTAGCCTCCTTAAGTATCGCACCTTTCCTTCTCTCCCACACTTTTATCCATCATCCTTAAACTTCCTCTCTCTCATTACAAACTCCTTTCCACTTTATTGATACTTACTCAACTCCACTCCACCCCACTCCACTCTACGCCATTTGATTGTGTATTAGCCTCGGAAAGTTCCCTGGGAATCTACTTCCTTCATGTACTTCATTTTATCGTCTCCAACGAGCGTGCCATTTTGATCAAAGAATCGAACTCCTGTGATTAAATTCGATCCAAGAATCGTGTATGGTTGATTTTCTGCCAGTATACCTTGTTTGATACCAAGATTATTTTTGGAACTGCCTACAGAACTGTCTACACTCGAACTTTGCAGTATAGAATGTATGTATGGAATTTCGTCCACTCACTCACTCACTCACTCACTCACCCCCTTCATTCCTTTTTCTGATGGTTCATCCATGGAATAGCGATGATATCTTGCTAACATGACTTCACATAATTCTTAGACCTATTTCGTCTCCGATCCACAATAACATTTTGCTCCAAGCCAGGAGATCGAGCTATCTTTTGATCATCCGATCCTCGATCTTAACGAAACTTTCTTGATCTTTTTCCTTTTCGCACTTGAAAGGACGAGTTTTCCTATTGACGGCTCAAAAACACGCTGGTCCTTCTATTAAAGACCTTTAAATCTCCTCGAGGTAGAAAAAGTTAAGATAGCCTTTAGAGCAGAACATTACTCAATCTCGCGATCACGCGACCACGCTTACACAACAACGCTGGAACTCCCTCTGATTCATAATTCAACCTTTAACATCTTGAATAAGATGATTTGACATAAGTCAGGCTTCTTTCAATCTTCCTGATACCCCATTACCTCCAACGATCTATCAACACAACAAACCTCCACAACAAACCTCGCCTATCATCATCACTTCCCCCCCCCATCTCCCCCCATCCAACCCCACAACCCTCAAAATGGGCGGCAAATTCTGGAGTCCCCAAGAACAAGAATACTTCGTGCACGAAGTAATGACCAAATCGCGCTTCAACGGTAAAGACGGCGCCTACAATCCCAACAAAGGTATGTCATGGACCGAACTCGCCGACATGATGCAACATGATATGGATGAGAGGAAATTGGCGCGTAGACAATACACGGGAAATATGTTGTATGAGCACTGGTACCAGACGGTCAAGAAAGATTGGGGAGAGGATCGCGTGAGGATATTGGCAGCGAGTGCGAAAGCTGCGCGGCAGGGTACTGGGCGACAACCAAGGGCGTCTCGAGTTAAGAAAGCGAAAAAGAGGGGTGAGACGTTTTCTCCTTTATCAGTTGTTGCAGAACAGTCCAGACAACATACAATTAGCCCTCAAGAGCAGCGAAAAGAAGTTATTTCCCGCAAAAACACCATGGAGTCGACAGGTTACACTCCCAACCATTCTTTTATGGCAGACTATCCTGCTCCTAAGAATCGCTCTGCACGTTTTGAAGACTCAAGCATGGCCCAGAGACGATATCCTTCTCCTCGAACCAGCTCCGCTTCATCAACAAACCGCCACTTTCATCCATACAGATATCCCGATACATACCGCCAATCCCGCACTGAAGATTCGGCAAGACATCATCCCCAACGCCATTCTGTACGTCCCGAATCTCGAACCCCTCTTCAGACCCGTGACTCGGAAACTCGCATGAGATCCACCTCTACAACCGCATCAAAAGCTCCCCACCAACCCCACAGTCTCCAACAACGTCAACCTATCATGATCCGCGACCCATCCCCCGAAGATGACGAAAATAGTCTCTTCGTAGAGCAAGACTATTCCGAATACAACCGTAGGACCTCCATTCCGCGTCCGAATACGGAGTTGGATGCCGCGGTGACTATGACCATGTTTCATCGTCAGGAGATGCATATTTTACATGGAACTCCTGCTAGGGGATTTGGTCACCCAGATGATCGCCGTAGTCTGCAGCAGTTTCGTCCTGATGCTCATGGTTATCAGCGGTATTTTGAGAATACTGCTTCAGGATACCGTCTCGCATCTACAGTTTCTCGTCTTGATACTGTCTCCCGGAGCCAGAAGAAGGGTCGATTGGATCAATTGGAGAACAGTGACGAGGGTAATAAGAACGATAAGGATTAGGTAGATCTCGGAGGTATTGAAGGCCAATTTGAGAGTACTTGCGCAATATTTGCGTTGAATTTCGGTCATTGGGCTAGTCCTCGAGGCTTTTGGAGGTTAAACAGAGGGTTTTCATTGTTACCTAATGACATATCGAAGGATGAAAGGAGTTTTGCGAGTTTTATTAGATACCTAGATATCCATAACTGAATGAATACATTTGATTGATTTATCCTATACACATGTATTCCAGACGATTTCACGGGAGCTTTATGAGGTGGAGGATTCAGAGTACAAATTCTCCGGTTTTCGGGGCTCATATGATGGGGATGTTCATCTCGATAGCTTAATTTTGAATTATAGAACGTCCCTGTGAGCGAAATAGAGCAAGAAACAGATAAAGGGAAACTTCCCAAATCGAATGCACATTTGATTACCAAGATGGTAGCATACCAGTGGCAATGAATAGACACTGATGAGTTAGTTATATATATTTCATGTGTGACTACTAACAATATCTTGTTATAAGTAATGCTAAAAATAATATCTCAGCCAACATATGTAGCTCTAGCATATTTCCTATTATCTTCAACTCGCCCAGCAATATAGCGATAGGTAGTTCCATTCATGTACTTCTCCCAAATATACCCAGCTATTGACTCCCTCACATGACCCATCAAAATATCCTCAATCCTTTTGTCCATCCCTAATGACAATGCAACTCTTCAATAATCAATCAACAAAATCAACAAAATCAGCATACCCTCTAAACATATCAATTAAATCTGGATCCATCTCACCCATCCAAGCTGGTTCATGACGAACATTGGTCTTCGAATTTCCATTCTGCTCATTATCTCCGCCATTTCCTATATCAGATTCCATAATTCCAGAACCCATCTCATTGATCCATGTTGGAGCACTACTTCCATTAGTGGAAATTATGGGACCCTCCGAACCCTTTCCCGTGCTTTCCATGCCTCCACGATTCTCATCCTCATCTTCTAGATGAGTTCTTTTTCTTTTCATCTGAGGTAATACCGGATTATCAAAATCCTCATTCTCATTTTCACCCCATTGATCATATCCCATCACATTATCGTTTTGAAAATCTTTCATCCAAGGACTTGATTGCTGACGTTTTGTAGATGGCATCCCAATATCCATATTATCCATCTCATTGTCTTCTCCTTCTTGGTGATTTCTCCGCATCCGACTCATCAATGGACTAGAGAATTGTTGCTCATTGACTTCCTCAGAATTGAATGCCGCAAAGTCAAACACATTATTAGCGAAGCTTGTATTGAGTTTGGGAGTAACCGGAGCAGTCGGGGCATTCGTGGTAGCGGGGGTAGTTCGAAGATTGATAGAATCATTTAAACCTATCATAGCAGCTTCGAAACTACCAGATGAATCTTCAAATGGGTCATCTGAAAGAGGATGTTGCTCATTTCCGTCTTTACTAGAGATATCCATATTCATAGCTGGAGGTGGTAACTGAGTTGCAGAGATAGAGACACCTTTGGACGCTTGCTTTTCACTGCTTAAAAGAGCAGAAGGGGAAGGAAATTCATACTCATCAGAATCCAAATGTTCCGACTCATGTTTTTGCTCATCTTTAGAGCCATCGGCATCCATGAATGAAAGATTTGGCATTTGCCCACTTGCATAAGAGAACTTGGGTTGGCCTTTCGGAAGTCGAACAGATGTATCTTTTTGAATACTTGTATGTGAATTTTGTAAAATACGATAATCTCTAGGAGCAACATTGGGATATGTTACCGGAGGCAAAGTTTTCGAAAGGTCGATTACCTCAACAATGTCTTGATCCAAACTTGGACCCAACGATGCCATGAGCTTAGGTTTTTTGGCCGACTTTGAGGGCTGCTTACTACCAGAAGCCTGGGTAGTGCTCATGTTGGACTTGCTCTCAGTCCCCTTAATCTTATCATCAATCTTCGGACCTTGTCTTTCGGCAATTCCAGTGGAAGACTTCTTTCTCGCAACCTTTCTAGGTTTATCCAACCCCTCCCTACAACACCTGTGCTTACAGAGTTGACCATTTTTCAAAGGATTTCCATCACGACAATGATGATTACAAGCCCATTTCCCATTTTCCATCTTCACAGGTTCTGGTTCAACGATGTCTTCTTTGACTTTCCTACTCTCTTTAGAATTGCCTAGACCAACTGTATCAATATCGACAAAAGCATCCGAGCCATAATCACTAGAGACTCGACGACCACCTTCGACTTGCTTAGCTACCGCGAGCATAGTATCGTCATCAATACCATCATCGAATTCATCAGAAGTTCCCATATCTTCAAGCTTGGACTTCTTTTTGCTCGGTCGCTCAACGATAACTTTCGGAGGAGGAAACTCAGACGCAGGAACATGGTGCTGTAAAACGCAAGATTTCAGAGTACCAACAATCTCATCGCATGCAAGCCAACATTTGATCTCATCATCCGGTGATGATAGTTCAACAGTAAACTCATGTTTAGAACCACCATTCGACAGTTTTTTAATGCTCATACGCCAGAAATATACTAAAGTGCCACTGGATGTCTCGGCTATGAAGGTTACTGATGGTATCCTACCCGACCACTTCGGCACCTTTGCATTTGCATAACCAAGTAAAGCATTGACTTTGACTTTCGGTTGCTCTCCTGATTTTGAGAAGCCCCTTCCGACAATTTGAGCCGTGAGAGTCAATTGAGGAAAGTCAATCAAATTGTCCTTCATCTTCTTCCCAAATGGAGGATTCTTGCCCATAACTCTCTCAACTCCTGCCGTATCAAGCCCAGCAAGCTTCTCAACAGTATTGACATTATTCCCAGCCAATTTCCGTAGAGATGCTGGTCCTATCTGGGGAACTTGTCTCAACTGTAAAGATGAGTTCTCCCAGTAACCCGCTGCAACACTCCTAGAAAGATCAAGAGCACAACGTACAGAGATTGAATCACAATCCACAGCTTTACAGTCAATAACACATCGTATCAAGCGTTGAAATCGTTCCAATATGATATTGGTCTCCATCGCGAATTGTCGGCTGATGACTCGAAAGTCGTTATCCGTTAATGGCTCAATTCCACCTAGCTGTGCTTGGATCATGAGAAAGATTTTATGACCCGTCGTTGATATATTCTCCTTGATTGGAAACTTCATCATCGGAGATTTGTTGAATTCTCGAAGACTTGATCGTTCATTTGGCTTCATTCGAAGGTCCTTGAATTCTGCTGCCTGGCATATGGTATTCAAGATTACTTCCGTTTTCGATTGACAAGGAATACTCAATAATAATTTCATCGTCTCAAACTGAACCATATATCGGCTCATTGCAGCACCATAATCCGTGCACGAGAAATTTTCCTCCTTTGTAACGAGCTCATATTCTTGAAGGAGTTTGATATCTCTCTCACATACTAATTCGAGTTGTTCGTCCGCATCTCTACTAGGAATAATCCCAGAAAACGTGTAATACTTAGGATTCTGTCTCATCCTAACACTCAAAAATGTCCCTGCTAACCAAACTTTGGCTTCATAAGCAGTTTTGATGGTACGAAGTCCGATTTCTGAGTTGAGATGTTCAATAAGATTCAGATGTAGCGTACTCTCCAAGATATCCTGACCCGAAATCATTTTTTTGTATCGATCTGCTTTCTCCATTCGAGTCATGATAATTGCAACAGCACTATCATCGAATTGAGGTCTTCCAGCACGACCTAACATTTGCATAACCTCGAGGTCGGAATATTCAGCAAGTCCACCATCTTGAAAGCAAGCTGTCCCCTTCAGAACCACAAGATGACAAGGTAAATTGACTCCAACAGCTAATGTCGAAGTACAACATATCACACTTATATCTCCTTTCAGATATGCCGTCTCAATAGCACATCTATCCTGCGCGTCAAGACCTGCATGATGATAAGCAACACCACATCCAACCAACTCTTGTAGATCTTTACTTCCCACCACTGTTCGAATAGTTGGAGCTGGCCAAGCACGGTCGACAACTCTTTGTCGAGTCCAATGTTCTGAAAGAATAGCTGCCGTAACTTCACATGATTTTCTTGTAAAACAAAAAACCATAATAGGCTTTTTGCAGGAGTACCTTTGAATTAAAGCCGGTAGCTTGCCAACGAGGGTTCTCTCAAAAGCAAAATCATTTGCACGACTCTCATATCCATGAACATGTTTCTGCAACTTGACAGGTCGAAAGTCTTCACCGAATGTTTCTCGATGAGCAGGTAATTGCCGACTACTTGAATCCCTTCCAAGCCAAGTGGCAATATCATGTCTAAATTACACATATATTAGTGTACGTCAAACTGCTTAACAATATATATCTACTTACGCATTAGGAACAGTAGCACTCAAAGCAACAAAGCGAACACTAGCCCCAATAGAATGCATCCGAGAAACCACAGCCTCAAGTGTAGCTCCTCTGGCATCCTTCAGGATATGAACCTCATCAATCAAGAAAAGTTTCACCAATTGCAAAAGTTTTTGATAATCTGTCCATTTCCGTGTAATGCTATCCCATTTCTCAGGTGTAGTAATAATGATCGATGCATTCCCCACTCGACTCATTTCGGCATTGCTAGTATCACCAGTAAGTTCCGCAACAGGTAGATTCAAATGACTGAACTTCTTGGTCCAATCCCTCATACGTTCCGAACAGAGAGATTTAATTGGTGCTTGATATACGATCTTGAATTGTCCAGAACCATAGCTTTCAACAAGTTTACAAATAGCAAGTTCCAAAAGAGCCGTCTTGCCACTTCCAGTAGGAGCAGACACAACAATATTATTATTGGTCTTATAGATTGGTGCAAAACATTTGGATTGTACAGCATTGAAGAGTTCGTACGGGAAGACTTGACGAAATCGATCCGGAAGTTCATGAGGGGACACGAGCTGAATTCCATGTGCCATTGGTGGTCCATTTCCAAAGGGAATAATCTGATGGCCATTTCTGAATTGTCCAGCATTACCATAGTATGTTTGAGCTGGCGAGAAACCAGAATGCTCTACACTACGACCCATTTCCTGCTCTTGAGAGACTCTCGAGGTCAGAGCATATTTGTTGCTAGCTGAAACCTGATTTTGAGGTGTATGTGGAGTTGTATACTGATGTTCAAAACTCTGCCCTGTTTCCTTTGTATTATGCGGAGGTAAACGTCGGTTCGAATTTCGACGTGAACTGACTCTAACAGTAGGACTAGACACAGGAAATTCTGAAGGAGAAGAATTTATAGTCGTATTAATGCGTTCATGAGGTCTATAGGCGAAGGCATCTAAAATAATTAGCCGATGTAGTCTACATAAAATCAAGAAAGGAATGATAAATGCCATACTCAAATCCATTCTAGTAGACGGCGGTGTAAAAACCTGTTGGTTCTGCTGCTGAAACTGCTGTGGTCTCGCCAACTGAGTCTGAAAGATGTTTTGTTTCGAAGGACTAAGTCCAATAGGTCGAGGCATCACCAGTGACGTCTGCGAGATCATATTATTGGCAAGCTGAGTAAGAGGACTCTGCCCTTCACCAACTCCGGAATTCGAAAGATGTGTCGGTCTATTTCTTGACTTAGTTTTTAACTCGATATCCTGCAAGATCTGCTGTTTGCAGTGATTATCTGCACGGGTCAGAACCCTAGGTTCTTTTCGTTCAACGGAAGCGTTAGAATCTGCTTGACCACCAACATGAGAAGGATATCTAGGAAGAGATAAGCGACCTTGTCCATTGCCAATACCAGTCGTAGAATATGCAGCGAGTCTTTGCATAGGTTGGGATAACTCATGAGAAGGATGACTCAAGTACCCTTGAAGTGGATCATGTACCGGAATATCATACGAAGCTCGCACATCTGTACTTTGATCAAGAGGCGACATTCTTTGCCCAGGCTGCCTTGGCCCCGGAGCGAAAGTAAACCCGGCAGAGGGTGGTTCTTCTCTTGGTGCCATCAAATATTCAGACGATTGGCCATGTTCTATGTTGTTATAATGGCCTCGCACATTCATACCCTGGCCGTATGAACCAGATAATTGTTGATTATGTTGCATTGGAGATGGTCCGAAGGTGAATCCTGGTTCTGGGGGTAAATGTTGAAAGTCTTTACCCGTGAAAAAATTGGTGGAAAATCCTGGATCTTTTCCATCTTCATGATGAGGTACACTACCAGATGCATTATCAATAGCACTGTTCATAACTTTCTGAAGATGAGGATCCCAAGTTCTATCCATGATGACTTTCACTTGATGTGGAGCAAGACTTTGCCCAATTGCTCGTAGGTAATCCGAACGCTTTTTCAGGATTGATGATAGATAAATAGAGATTGAAAAGAAATAGGATGCATCAGACAATCATCTATTACAATGAGAAAGAATGCCATGAGCTGGGGAAATGATGAAATGAAGTGTGTGAGTGTGTGTGTGTTAAAGGCAACCATTGATGTTGGTGTACCCCTCAACCTCAATTGTTTAGCGTGCTTTCCATTTTTGACTTCACTTCACTTTACTCTTCACCTACCAACCACATCGATATTCTTTACTTGAGAAATCGCGCCAAATGTATCATGCAATGCATGACATCTTAGGATTGTAATGTCAAAAGCCTAAACCGTGTCAACATCAAGAAGATTTTCTTCTCGTATCTATCACGGATCAAACATCATGTGTCCTTCATTCATTTTCCTTCCTTTCTATTGCTCTTTTCCTACAGGAAACATCATTCCAGCTGACTTTCCCAATCGTATATGTAATATTTTGCTATTCCATAGGTATCCTATGCGTGTGCACGCAAAATGTTTTTTCCCACTCAGGTATCATTTTCTTCGTCTCTACATTTCGTCATTTCGCTTTACCCCTTCTTTACCTGTTCACCCAATTCTCAAGCGAACCCTACGGAGTTCCCAACAGTATAAAACTAGGGTCGATGCTTAAGAAATTTGAGATGATAAATCGCTCGCTAAAGTGAAGTAAGATTATGGGACCCCGCTCCGACTCTCCCACTATCAACTTCAACCCCAACCTATTCGACTCAACCTACCCACCACGAAATCAATCATCCCTCTTAACCTTTCCTCTCGAACTTCCCACCCTCGAATGATGTCTCATAGGTGAACTAGGCCTACTAGTTGATAACGATGCTCCCGCTCCTGGGCCTTTCAACCCATTCAATGGATCCAACGTCAAACTCGACCTATCCTCTTCAAACTTTGGCGTAAATCCATTATCAATCGTCGTCTTCTCATAGCTCGCGATATTGATTGGTGGAGGCCTATTACGTTTCCTCTCTGGACCGCTGTAGAGCCATGTTGCAAAAAGGACTATCGATGTACCGACAAGAAACTATGAATGTGTGAGTAAGAATATTCAAAAGTAACTCTCTTCAAAAACTTACATTGAGTGTCACCTTGAAGTCAAAAAACCAAACGCTGAAGATGAAACTAATAACAATGCTAATACTTGTTGCAAAATTCTTCGCGATATTATCACTATAGTTGATGCAAAGTGCCACGAAAATCCCCCCCAATGCTTGCATCACAATAGCTGTCCAAACGATCGCATTATAGCCATCAAAGAACCCATTCTTTGCAATTTCCTCTCCATCTTTGAACATCACTCCAAAGATTAAAGCTGGAAAGAGAGAATAGAAAGAAAGTTGAACATTCCTCGTCCAAATCGTAACATGAGTCGTAGATTCCTTTAGTACCTTCTCAAAATATACCCCTGTGAGACCCGATATGACCGCCGCGCCCAACACAGCCATAAGACCAATTGAATAATTCATAACTGGTTTGACAAGTCCTTGATCTTCTTGTATTCCCTCATATGTAGCAGATCGTTTCGTGAGACCTTCGGAAACCCCCTCCATACCACGTTTCGTCAATTCGGCTGCGACTTCCACTGCGCCATTGCCCATATGTCCCAACTCATGAAACGAGCGTGGAAAATAAAACCGGGATTGTGAATCGTTCATTGTCGAATATGCAGATGCGGCACCGCCGGGTAATTGAACAATTGTAACTCCAATTGTGAGCAAAACTAGAGCTATCCACCGTTTGGATGAAAGTGCCCTTCTCAGCAAAATCACGCTGAAAACCGCCGTGGTAAGAATCTACATCGCCAAATTAGTAAACAATCATCCCGTCCATACAGTAGACAGAACCAACCTTCAATTGATATAAAACCTGAAACTGGACAGCTTCCAAATTGCTCACAGCAATATATTGTAAGGAATTCTGCAGAGTATACAGAGTAGCTGGGATAGCCAGTTTCCAACCATCTCCAGAAAACACCGTCATATACAATTGCTCGAAAAGAACCGTGGCCGGTGTAGAGGGGGGCAACGTTCGTGAAATATCGTACATGGCAATCGTCAAGGAGACAGCCAACTTCATGATCTCATTAAGGAAAACCGCGGTGGATGTAAAATATCTGTGCCCACCTCCTAATGGCATTATCCTACTATAATGCATTATCTATAGCCATATTAGCTATTCTTCCTGCCAATATATTATATCGAAACAAAGTAGAAGCATTCGATGATGTCAACGTACAAGTATGAGGGCCGAATTTTGGAAAGTAAGCTGGGAAAGTATTAATTAGCATAAGTCCCTTTGCCAAATTCATCAAAGTATATCCTCACAGAAATAAGAGAAACATGCTTCATGGAAGCCCCCATCCAACTCTGCGACGCGTCTTCTATCGCCATTGCGCTCAAGATGATACTGCTCTTTCTCTATGTACCCAAACCGGGGGGGAGGGGGGTTGTTGAATCTCCTCTCTCTATCCTCGATAAACTTATCTCTCCGAATCTAAATAATATCGTTAAAAAGTCAAATAAGTTGATCATGAATAAGCAAAAGCTTTTAAGTGCATGACAAACAGTGAGGTCAAATGATGTAAAGGAAAGAAAGCAATTTTGGTCTTGATCGAAAAGTGACGATCTAATGTTCTGGCTAGCTAGGTATTTTCTTGACCCTGCTCAAGCGCTGTTCATTGGCTTGCCCTGCCGTGCTTGCTCTACTTCCAGATGTTCAAAATTCAAGATTGTTGGTTGTACAAATCAACCAATCATCATCATCATCAAGATGCAACAAGCTCTCTCCTGTACTCTGTACATCCACCATAACCACCAAATTGACAAGCTGATCAAACTTGTAAGATCTTACAATGTGGAGTGTAAATCCCTTGTCCTCTCCAATTTTATGAGGATTCATATTCACCAAAGTAGAATTCTTATTTCTATTTCCAGACCTGATCAGCTTTCATCAAACAATTCACGATGTTTATTCTGTACATTGAAAAACCAATGAAGATCACATCAATCAATCAATCAATCAATCAATCAATCAATCAATCAATCAATCAATCAATCAATCAATCAATCAATCAATCAATCCCATCTCATTTCTCCCCATCCCATCATCAAACAACCACAAACAACCACCCACACCCAAGCAAGCTCAATTTTTGGGTTCTCTCAGAAAAGTCTAAAGCACATCTCCAAATTCAATGACAACATATGTCTCACCATCACCCACCTAGACATCCCCAGATCTCCAGATGAATCCAAACTTCCTCCAAACAAAATCATCTCACCACGTACAAGCAGCACCTAGTCAGCTAGTCAGCTAGTCAGCTAATATTCGTACCTAAAACCCAATGCAATGTATAAAACTCACCCAGAATTGAAAAACTAGCACACCAAACTCACCACTGCCAACAAATCTTGTGAAAATACTATAATTTCTACATTAAATAGTAAATTCAAAGATTATGAATACTTGAATGAACAAAAGACAGTTGACAATTTTTCAAGTTCTTTAATATCTTTATATAGTTTATATAACTTATTATAAATTGATGATATGATTTGCTAAAGAGGTTTGAAGATGTGGTGGATTTCTAGTGGGTTAGTTTTTCCGTCCACAGGTGAGGTACTGTACCGTATGTAGTCCGAACACATAGATAGTTATTAAAACCACCTACCTCACTGCATTCATTACATTACATTATATTTACATGCCACCATTCCCACCCCGTACACACAAACACACACTTTCCATCCCCAATAATCTTGCACCTTCCACCCTCTCCTCCATCTCTCTCTCCCTCCACCCATCCTGTCCTCCATCCCGTCCACCAACCCCCATCCATCCACTCACTGTAAAGCCAACCAACCTCCCTCCCCCTTCCCCCTTCCCACACCAATCCAACCCAAATCAACCAATCCAACCCAACCCACCCAAACCCAAATCCAAACCCAACATCCCTTCCTCCCGGCCCTCTAACCCCTCCCTCCTCTCACCTCTGACTCGCGAGTCACAACCAACCCTAACTAACCATTCACCAACCACCAACCACCACCCCCAAAAAGAAGCCAGCCAGCCTCTCAGACTCTCCCCACTAACCAACCCATCAACACTACTCCCAAATCCCCAAATCCCCAAATCCCTCAGCCACCACATGATGCGTCCAGACCAGACTTTTCCACGTACATATACTATACTATTTAGATAAATACTATACTATACCAACCTCGGAGGTATCCCGCAGCCGAGCTACTTCTCATCACAAAAAATCTACATCCATAGAATCTTAGTATTCTACATTTTTTCCGTCGTGTTACTATTTGACATCTGACATCTGATGTCTTAATCTAGGTCAATATTAACATATGTATGGATATGTCTAGAAAACCTATTCAATCAGAAATATCAAAATTCGATTCCTTTCAATTCGATTTCGATTCTCAACTCTCATATCATCTATCTACCCAGTATCTATAACATAAACCTCTCTCTCCATCGCCACCTACACACCTACATCCATCCATCTATCTATCCATCCATCCATCTCTCTACCTATCTATCTATGTATACAAAAATTGGTTCCCTCCCATGAGAATGTAAAAATAAAAAATAAATTCAAGAGGGGTATAAGCAAATGTAACCAAAACCCGTCAATCGATCAATCAATGAATATAAGATCATGAAAGTAAATAAGACACTCCATCCTCATCCTCATCCACATCTTCCTATCCAAAAAATACACATACACATACATGTACACACATACAAACGTACGTACATACATTCCCAAATCCGAATTCCAAAAATTCCAAAAAAAAAAAATCAATTCGCACCCCGTGATATCTCATAACAACAATAAATGTAAAATTACCCCCCCCCCATCATCAGCACCTCAAAATTACAAATCCCCAATCCCAACTTCAC